ATTGTAATACCATTTGGATTACATGTATCCGATCTGGACACAAGGCGATACCATACAAGGCCTATAAAGTACAGACTTGCCCTGAATCACTGATGTCTGTCAGGACATAATTCTCTTCGTCCTATATTATCGAATAGTATTAGTGCAATAATCGAGCCTACGTGTAACGTTTATGCTTGACCACTGAAGGCCAGTAGAAGAAGAGATTGGATTTATACCCCGCCCTTCACTACCCAAGGGAGTCTCAGAGCGGCTGACAAACTCCTTCCCCTTCCCCTCCCCACAACAGACACCCTGTGAGGTCAGTGGGGCTGAGAGAGGTCTGAGAGCACAGGCCCAAGAGAACTACGCCTTGCCCAAGGTCATCCAGCCAGGTGCAAGTGGAGGAGTGGGGAATCAAACCAGGTTCTCCCAGATTAGAGTCCGCGCACTTCACCACTGCACCAAACTGGCCAAAATGCATGTTTTAGGGTCACAGACGGTCCTGATTTTGAAATAACTGCATGTATTGTATTCTTATTGAGGCTATATTGGGGCCTATAATTGTTTCTAAAGCAATTTGTAATAAATACATGTAATTTTTGTATAATTTGCATTATTTCTATATTGATGTTTTCTGCTTCTTTACACCTCGCTGCTGGCGTCCCTCCTGAAACTGCCCAGCAGTCAACGGGGGGGGGGGGGGGCCCCGGAACACAGGCGCGCGAGGAAGACCGCTCGTCCCACATAGCTGCCCCAGACACCACTCCAGCCGGGTATCGCCAGGTCCACACCTCGTCGAAGGTGCGTTTCTTCTTCTTCTGCTTGAAGGGGAAGACTCCCAACGCATATTTCAGGAGGAAGCAACAAACAGCATAAAAGATTTAAGAAAAGCCACTTCAAAAGAAAGCCGATAGACTTGCAAAATACGAGCGGCAGGCAGGAAACGCAATCTTGGGACGCAGACGCAATTTAGGGAGCGTCTCATTTCAGAGACACCAAAGCAGCCGGATGCATCCCCTGCTCTCCCCAGGCTCAAAATCCCGGGCCATTTCTCACCCAACCTCCTTGCCCTAGGCCGATCCCAAACTCAGAGTAACGTGGAGCCCCATTTAGCTGGATACATTCCGGCTGGTAATACGGGCAATTCGGGGGACTTGCGATCATTGTTCCCTCTAAGCTGAGTTAGTGTGAGCTAGCTCAGAGTTTTTTAGCCTCCGGCTCACACATTTTTGTCTTCGCTCAGGAAGGAGGGTTCCAGAGCAAAGTCATTTATGCAGCAGCCAAATCACTCCCTCACAACTTTAAGGCCAGTAGCTGCCAAAGTAGAATTGTTGCTCACAAGACGCCACAGCTTAGAGGGAGCATTGCTTGCGATCACTCTTTCGGCCATGCCCCTAGTTAACGCAGGGCTTTTGCTCTCGGGGATGGCTTTACTTATTCAAGGGCATAGACCAGGGGTGTCGAACTCATTTGTTATGAAGGCCGGATCTGACATAAATGAGACCTTGTTGGGCCGGGCCGTGTGTGTCATAAAATGTAATGCCAGATAGCAGAGAGATAAACTTTAGAAAGGACACAAACACAAAGGGTTTTTTTTTAACTTAAAAACATGCTTAAAACGTTAGCGCTCTTGCAATATTGTGTTTACTTAACAGTGTCTGATCACTGACACCTCTTGCTCTGAACTATTGCATCAAAATGTCTGTGCTCTTGCCATCCTGAGTATGCTGTTCAAGTGTGCATCTGTCAGCTGCAAACCTACAATGATGATGCAGCAGCAGAAGTGGAAGAAGAAGCAGGAGACAGCCAGTTCCACTGCGGGCCTGACAGAAGCCCTCCGGGGGCCTGATCCGGCCCCCATGTTTGACACCCCTGGGATAGACAGTTCAATACAAGCCCTGGAAGGAACAACCACGCCACTCGATCCTTTACCCCAAGGCAAGATCTTTGAAGCACCGACACTTTCTGGGTTGACCCACCTGGGCTGAGCCAGGGGTCCCTCACCTTTTTGATCCAGTGGGCACCTCTGGAATTCTGACACGGGGCGGTGGGCACAACCGCAACACGGCTGCTGCGGGAGGTGGCGTTACACACACAGACGAAGGCCAAGGGCAGGGGTCAAGAGGGGTGATTCAGAGTACCTGTGTGCAAAATGCTCTCAGGTTGCACCTGACCACAAGGGCTTTCAAGGCGAGTGAGAAGCGGCAGTGGTTTCCCTTGCCTTCCTCAGTGGTCTCCCACCCAAGTACTGACCCTGCTGAGCTTCCGAGATGAGGCGACACCATGTTGCCTTCAGTGTTCCCTCTAAGCTGTGTTAGTGTGAGCCAGCTCGCAGTTCGTTAGCCTCCGGCTCACACATTTTTGCCTTGGCTCAGGAAGGGATGGCTCCAGAGCAGACTAATTTATGCAGCAGCCAAATCGCTCGCTCACCACTTTCATGCCAGCAGCTCGCAAAGGAGAACTTTTGCTCACAAGACTCCACAGCTTAGAGGGAGCACTGAGAGGAGAGGAGGAGATTGGATTTATACCCCGCCCTTCACTCGGAGTCGCAGAGCGGCTTACAAACTCCTTTCCCTTCCCCTCCCCACAACAGACACCTGGTGAGGTAGGTGGGGCTGAGAGAGCTCTTTCGATGACTGCCCTTGAGAAAACAGCTGAGAGAACTTGTGACTGACCCAAGGTCACACCAGCAGCTGCATGTGAGGGGGGAAATGGGGAATCAAACTCAGTTCTCCCAGATTAGAGTCCGCGCTCTTAACCATGACACCAAACTGGTTGCCTTCCCTCCTATAATTAAAAATATCCTGGGGGGGGGGGGAGTGGTGTGAGAGAATAAAACCAACCCTGCAGTGCTGCCTGCCACTGAAGGGGTCTTATTTTAATATCCCCAGCCAATCGGATCGTGAGTGGAACATCCAAAGCCCAGCCGGGCAGAAGCTCCACCCGACCCCACTGAATTTTCAAGAAAACCTGGTGGCCGCCAAGAAAGGTGTTTGGGCGGGAGGGCAGGTTGCCCCCTGGCACCATGTTGGGAATTCTGGTTCAAGCCCAGAAAAGTCCAAGTTGTGTGAAGGTCAATTGGTTGCCTCCTCTGGAGTTCTCTCTGCAGTAACTCCCCAGCTTAGAAGAAGAGGAGACTGGATTTATACCCGCCCTTCACTATCCAAAGTTGTCTCAGAGCGGCTTACAAACCCCTCTCCCTTCCCCTCCCCACCACAGACACCCTGTGAGGTAGGTGGGGCTGAGAGAGCTCTGACAGAAACTGCTCTTTTTCAAGAACAGCTGTGCCAGAACTATGGCTTGCCCAAGGTCATCCAGCAGGTGCAAACAGAGGAGTGGGGAATCCAACCCGGTTCTCCCAGATTAGAGTCCGCGCACTTCACCACGACACCAAACTGGCTCCCAGTTTGGGGGGATTGGGTGTGGGGGGAATTATGCATTTCAGGACTGGAGATTTTTGTGGGATTTGTGGATA